GGAAGGAAGGAAGGAAGGAAGGAAGGAAGGAAGGAAGGAAGGAAGGAAGTTGAGCAAGCCATAGGGAACAAGCCAGTAAGCAGCATTCCTGCATGGTCTGTGCTGTTCCTGCCACCAGGTTCCTGCCCTGACTTCCCTTCATAATACACCATAAGCTGCAAACTAAAATAAACCCTTTCCTCCCCAAGTTGCTTTTTGTCGTGATGTTTGATCACATAAATAGAAGCCAAAATAAGACACCATGTTCTCAACTTCAGACCTAGATCTGCCCAGCTCCAGAGCAGTTTCACTTACACTCCCACTCATGGCCTTCCTGACCCAAATTAGCTTTGGTATCTTTTTGTATTCAGTGTTACCTATTTCCTTCCCAGGCACAGATTCTCTCCTCCTGCAGCGAGGGTGGAAGCAGTGAAAAGTGTATGTCCTCAGAAGTCCCTAAGAGTGGCTTTTCCCAAATGCAACTCAATGTTACCAATCTTGCCCTCCCTTTCCTTCCCTGGGTACCTAAAACACTTGGGGTCTCGGTCCCACTCCAAGAATTTCCCTGCCTCTCCTGTTTGACTCTGATCCTGAATCATCAGTCCCTCCAAGTGATCACTTTTTGCTCATCTCTGTGTCCACCCTTGAGGGTCCCAGCAATGCGTGTTTCTCATCCGTGAACTCCACAACTGAGAAGGGGCTCCAGCTCATTGCCCTGGTACTAGGAAGCACTGGCAGTAGAGCTTCAGCGGGCTCCACTGAAGAAGTCCCGCGGGATCCTGGGGACATCCTAAGTTTCCTGAAGGAGATGAGCTTGGTTCAGAGGCAAGTCAAAGCCAGTAGTGTGTAGTGTATTTCAAGTGTGACTGGAATGGGCCACAGGGATCCATATAGGTCTAACAAGCCACCAGTGGCCCTCATAGGACTGGTATCGGACGTACCAACAGTACATAATGTTCTGGTTGACTACATACGCAGACTCGGGAACCATACAACGCAAACCCCACTAAGCAGAGGCCTCTCACCTCTTCCACTCTACGAATCCACCTCCAGACTCACCTTTGCCCGCTGGCCACTCCCGCAAAGAGCCACCCTCCTCTCTGGGTTCCGCCTCCTCCCTGACCCCACCCTGGCATCCAGTCCCTCTTTGCCTCCCTTTGGGTCCCACTGATCAGCGCCTCCCCACTTAGGCCACGCCCACCTAGCCTGCCACCCCACCCCACCCCCAGCTCTCTGGTCCCCAGGGTTGGACTGAGACACTTGACTTCTGGAATAAGGTGCCGAGCAACGACCATCTCCACCAGTAGCTCGGGAGCCGGCCACCTTTCAGATTGAGGCTGACTGAGGAAGACTTGCATCCTGATGCGGCGTCGGTAATCCAAGGCCAGAAGCCGCGACTGCGCTAACGGGTGGAGAGGGGAGGCGCCAGAGTGCAAAGGTGAACTGGCACCAGGTCTCTTCCCCAGAGTGAACACTGGGAGGAGCAAGAGTATTTGAATGGTGCCTTTTGAAATGTGGTTCCAGGACTGTGACAAGTGACTACATGTGGACCTGTGCGAGTCGACCTGTGCATGCCACAATTCCAGACACTGTGTAGTCTTGTGTGTGGCCTTAGTGACAAGGATAGGGATAGTTTGAGCTTGAAATGACCTGTACTTTAGCCCAGCTTCCTGTGATCTGTCCTTTAACCCTACATGCTTCAGTGTGTCTGGGATCTGGTGCTTGCGATGATTCAGCATTGTTTTGGTCACAGTGGATAAGGCTTGTGGAATGATGGCACATGTGAGATGCTCATGTGACCATATAGGCATTCTCACATGCCTGGCCCTCCCAAGGACATGGGTGTGGCTCCACCTGTGTGCATCACTATGTGTGACATGATGCAGTGTCACTAGCCCATGGGACATGGAAGAACCTTTCCCCATCACAGGTCGTCTGTGGCTTTGTGGCACCTCCAGTAAAGTTCTCAGTTCTGTATCTATTGGCACTGGAGCCAGGGGTGTGTTGGGGTCCCCCCATCCTCACAGCTGGACCCAGATTCTCTAGGACCTCTCTAAACCTCCTCCCTGTCCTAGCCAAAGGCACAGCTGGTAAGAAAGGGAAGTACCTGGGCCTTGGGGTCAGAGATGAGGAGGCTGAGACCTGCCCAAGCTGGAACTGGCCTGGGCTCCCCTGGCCACACTCAACCTGGTAGTACAGGATTCCCAGGGCTAATGGCAGAACCTGGGTGGTTGTGAGGTGGGCAGGGCTCTCCCTGATCCTCATATTAAACTTTGCTATTTCAGTATCCAGGCTAGCCCAAAAAAGGCTGGGGGCAGGGTGTCTGCTAGAAGTCCTATGGCCTATAGGGTTTCATGCCACCTACTAGTTCTCAGCTTTATGGTGTTGGGTAGCAGCCAAGTCAAGAGTTGTCCTCACCCTTCTGAAGCCAGGAAAGATTGAGTGTTGGTTCCTGCCCCACCCCCACCCTGTCCCCGACTTTGGTCCTACTGTGATCCAATCAGGTCACCTGGGTGGAGGCTGAGTTGTGGGGATGTGGAATGGGAGACTTTCTAACAGGACAAACTGAATGGTGAGGGATGGAGAGGGAGTACACAGAGAAACAATATTCATACAAAATAATTTATTTTAAAATGTACCATTTATAATGGCCAGAGACAGCTGGCAAGTTCCTGCTGTGGCATGGGCAGAGGTGTCCTGCCTTTTCATTTTCACTCTTATTAAGAGAACTAGCTGCTCAGCATCCCCACTGAGTGGAAGGGTCCAGCCCTTCCCAGAGAAAGGAACTAGGAAGGACCCTGGCAAAATGTCTTAAGAAAGGATGGGGAGCCAGGCGGTGGTGGCGCATGCCTTTAATCCCAGCCCTCGGGAGGCAGAGGCAGGCGGATCTTTGTGAGTTTGAGGCCAGCCTGGTCTACAGAGCAAGATCCAGGAAAGGCACAAAGCTGCACAGAGAAACCCTGTCTCAAAAAACAAAAACAAAAACAAAAACAAAAGAGAGAGAGAGAGAGAGAGAGAGAGAGAGAAAGGATGGGGGGAGGAGGGGTGGGAGGAGAGGAGGGATGGAAACTTCAGTCAGGATGTAAAATAAATGAATAAACTTAATTAATTTTAAAAAAGGAAGGAAGGATGGCAAACTCCTGCTTTTTTTTTTTGGCAATTCAGTATGTTTAGGAAGGTCAGGAACCTAACCAGACATTCCTGGGTTCCTTTCCCCATCTGTATGACAGGGTCAGAGGGCAGTTTCTGGGCCCCTTAGAAGCCTGTATTTCTTAGAGACTTTGAGGACTTTTTTGTCCCCATTGGCACATAACCCTAGAGACTGAGGGACACATATGTGTCCTTGGTTCTGGAGGACCAACTTCCAAAGCTGCTGTGTTCTTGACCTATGTAAGTCAGGATCCATCCATGGAGCAAGTGGGATAGCTGGCCTGGATCAAGTGTTGACCCTAGTTGTTGGCTAGGGGCCCAAGAAAGCGGGCATCGGTAGTAGGAGTGAGAGTGGCAGTGGCTGCAGGTGGCCGGTTAATGCAGCACAGATTTCCAGTTTTGAGTGCGCACTGTACCGGCCAGAGCACCACACAAAATAGCACCAGCAACAGCACAGAAACCAGTGCTACACGACGCCAGTCTCCAAATCGTGCCCAACAGCGGGCCAGACAACCTTGGTTGGGTGCAGGGTCCTGGACAGGCGCAGGTAGGGTGGGCTCAGCTGGTTTGCTCAGGCCTACATCCACACACACAACGCCACTGGCCTCTTGGCCAGAAGTGGTGGGCAAAGGGCGGCAACATAGTTTGGTACCCTCAAGCCACACAGACTCCTCCCTCTGTAGGTGCACTGGCATCTTGGCCTGTAGCTGACGACTGGTGCGTAGTGCAGGAGCCCCAGCGGCAGGTACAGTTGTGGGCTGCCGGCAGAACGGGCAGGGTACAGCTTCTCTGCCAGGACGGCCTGCAGGTTGGGCAGCTGCTAGCCTAGCCAAACACTCAAGGCAGAAGACATGAGTACAGGAGAGCTCCTTGGGTGTCTTGAAGATGTTGTCATAGCCTGAGAAGCAGATGGAACACTCTAGTGGGGAGGCCACCTTCTCTGAGCCAGGAGTACTGGGGGATCTGGGGCTGCCAACTGGGCCAGGAGACCTGGGCACTGTGGCTGTGGAGCTGCTCTGGTGGTGGGGTAGCATAGCTGTATGCCATACCCGCTGGCCTGATGACATGATTCTGAGCTGTGGAACAGAGACAGGCCATCATGAGCTGCCCTTTTCCTAGAAAGTCAGCCTGTCACACCTCCTCTTCTTTTATCCAGCATCAGACCCAAAGATTCTAATGAAGGACACTATCCACCTGTAGGTACCTCCAAAATCCCACCCATGGCCAAACTGTAACCTATCCTCTTCCATTCATTACAAGGTCAACAATCCCATGGTACCTCAAGCATGGACAATCTAGACAGGGTTCAAGAATAGAAGCCATGTGCTAGGGGTTGTCAACATGATGGCTGGACACCTGTTGCCCATCCTTACTGCTGCTGATAATGAAAGTGGTCCACTGCAGCTACTATTTATGTCTGTGCTCTGCAAGGCTGAACCCATGCTACAGAATACTAACAGTTCCATCCGGAGAAGGCAGTTCCAAGGTGGAGTGACTTAGCTAGGGTCTTCTGGACCTGAACCAATTGGAAGTGGGCTCTGGCAGGCTCATGAACTACCTGTGGCTCTGGATCAGGTGGAACGGGTTTGAACTTGGTCCCAGTGTGGGTCCCTGATTTGTATGGTATACATCTGAGTTGCCAGCACATATATAAGGATTCTAGGGTCTCTGGGAGAACAGCTGGGCCCATAAATCTCTGGGAAACAGGGAGGGTCTTAATAGGGGCCTGAGAAGTTTTTAAACAGCTGCAGCCTGGACTCTGGGGCCAGATTGTTTGGTAGGGATAGAGACTAGTGCCAGAGACCAGGAGTTTAAAATGCTCCTTAGCCAGCCAATGGCCAGAGGAGTGAGGCTGCCTCAGACATGCCCATGCGCAAACTTGAGCAGACAGACAAACACACACATACAGATATACACACACCTGCCCTGTTCTGCCAATATCAGAGTCATAGTTGCCTGTCAAGGAGAAGGTGGGATGTAGAAGATCCAGGCCTTCTTTGGCAGCTCACCCTACTTCCCTGAGAGGAATCCTAGAAATGCACCGACTGCTTAGTACTGTTCACTAACCTCTCCTGGGCCGGATGTTACTTCAGGAGCCATAGGCGTCCTGACCAGAAAAGGGTATTTCACTACAAAAGCCTTGGCTTTATAACCCATGGAACCCAGCAGCCACAGCAGAGATGACCCCTCTCCCTGCCTCACTGGTCAACCCCAAGTGGGTGAGTAAGTAAAATGGCCCAAGGATTGCTGAATCATCACTGGATCTATGTGAATCATCTGACATCATTGTGACATCATGGGAGCCCCAACCTTCTGGCATTTGATGTCACTACTTCCTGGATGCAGCAGTGATCTTGACAAGGGCTATCCTCCCCCGACCTGTACTGCTCATAGGACTGGTTCCTTGGCCCTAGGCCTCACCCCAAGACTGCATAGGTGAAAGGTGAGTACAGGCTGAGCTGGCCTTACCTGGTAGCTGGGAGTCAGCAGTTCCTGGGCATGATCCTCTTCACTGGCCACAGCAAAGCTCTGTGCCTCTAGGCTGACCAGCTCTAGCAGAGCGTGTTCCCCCTCCTTCAGGTTCGGCTCAGCCTCTGCTCCACTTGGCAGGTGTTCCTCCACAGGCCTACAGCCAACAGCCTTCTTGCAGTACCGGTTTAGCTGGCGCACCTCTTCTGTGTGTATGTGGGAATGGGAGGTAGGATGTGTGTGTTCATCCAAGAGCTGGCTGACTGAGACAGGTGTGAATTCTCAGGCCATGAGCTTTGAAGCAGGTTTATTTATACCCTCCAGATAATGGCAGCTGGGGGTGTGGCCCTCAACACCCTGAACACCAGAGATTGGCTGGTCTCTCCCTGGCAGGCTCAGAATGGGTGGGGAGCCAGGAGAAGGGTTAGAGTCGGGATGGGTCTAGGATCAGCACAGGCCTCTGGTCTTAGGACTCCAGACTGAAAGTAGATGCTCAGTACTCAGACAAAGCCCCTATCCTTTGGAAAGCAAGTGTGCCCACCTAGTCCCAAGTATACTCAGAAACCCTTCACTGAGCTTAGCACATACTCAGACACAGCCCAATTTTCACTTTTCTGCCCCATCTACCTGTGCCCACCAATGTCCTCTGCTGCTTCAGCACCCTACTGCCTTTGGGGAACTCCTTGTCCTGGAGTCGAGGAAGTAGGGGTGAGAGATCAGGGCTAGGCAGGACTGGGCAACAGCCTAGATGGTGGGCCAAGTTAAGAATATTAAAGATGATGGGTGGAGGTGGTGCACACCTTTAATCCCTTAATTTAAACTCAGAAGGCAGAGATGGAACTCTGTGAGTTTGAGGCCAACCTTGTCTACAGAGCAAGTTCCAGGACAGCCAGGGCTACACAAAGAAACCCTGTCTCAAAATACCAATAAATAAATAAGTAAAATAAAATAATAATAGGGACCCAGGCTGGCTACAATAGATTGTGGATACTGCTTGGGCACCGTTTGTCCCATACTTCAGGAAGGAAGCCTCTAGCCTTCAGGTGTTCTTGGAAAGATGGGATCTCAAGAAGCTTTGACCAGGTGACACAATAGAAGAAAGTGTTGGTTGAAGAGTTGGTGGGCAAGGAGCATCTAGGGTTGGGGCAGGAAGTGCCACACTGGAATGGGATGGACTAGAGACTGAGCAGTCGTATAGGCAGCCTCTGGCCTGCCCCAGGTCCATTGGGCTGAGATCTTCTTGATGACCAGACTCAATAACCCCAGTGGTCTTTTCTCTTCTCCACCCACTTTGGTCAGGCCAGGTTCTTCCCTATCCTGAGGTTTAGTTGTCTTCTGGCCAAGCACAGTGGATTGTGAGGTCCTGAGATAGGCCTATGGGGAGGGTATGTTGCTGGGAGGAATCTCATCATGGTGGAAGGAATGGTTGCTCTTAGGTACTCAACCAAAAGTACCCACTGAGCACCCAATGGTCCAGATCCCCAGAAGCTACCACAATTTTGCTCCTAGATGTCTTTATGATCAAGGCTAACTTCAAAAGGAGCTAAGATATGGGGGATTGTGGGAACCTGGGGACAATGTCTTATCAGAAGAAGGGAGCCTAAACTCTGGAAGGATTGAGGCTCTCCTGACTAATTCTATAAGTACTAGTAATCAAAAATGGGGCTCAGGGAATTAGGGGCTCAAGGGAAAATGGAGGTCCAGAGAGGATGTGGGTACCTAAGGAGGGAGATGGAGCCCTTTGGAGGGTCCAGGATTGTAAAGGGCATGAGTGTGCTGAGGGAGAGCTGCTAAGGGCCCAGCCCAAGTGTTCTGTATAGAGTATGACTCTGTGTCACATGCTGCCTCTAGGAAGCTGGAGTCTCAGATGTTCTGGGAACAATCTTCAGAGGGATCCTGGGGATATCTAAGCTCTGAGGTCACCAAGGCTACCCAGTGAACAGTCAATGTCCAGAGGCAAATATGCTGTGAGGCCTTAGGAATCTATCAGGTTTCTCATAGCCTTGGCCTTCTCCCAGGCCTGACCTCAGGGGAGTCAACTCCCTGCTGACAGAGGGACCAGGTCTTGGAGGAGTTCCAGCCAATATAGTAAGAACTCAGACTACACTGTCAAGGGCAGTAAGTGGGGTCCATCTTGACCCTATCCTAACCAGCAGGCAAGTGACAGAAATCACCAACCAAGTCAATGTGTGTGTGTGTGTGTGTGCACATCAATATACTACTACCATTAAGCACATGTATGCATTTGTTTTAGCATGTGTCCATAAGGCCAACCTTATTTCCTATCTCCTCACTCTGGGCCCCACAGTTCTAGGGCTTCCCTCTCTGGGTGAGGCCCTTAATGACCCCATCCTTGTACCAAAGTGGTCATAGCTTCTGAGTAGTGCCCCCAAACCTACCCCGAGGACAGTCCTCACCACCAAGTCTATGGACCTGGCTGAAAGTGCCTCATGATGCACTGTTGGGAGACAAGGTATGGCTAGTGCATGAGGTCTTTTAAGACTAGGACTTTTTTTTAGATTCTCAGTTTTGGGCTCACCCCTCATCTCTGCCTGCCTGGTACTCATCATCTTTGCAAACCCCAAACAATTGATATGGGAGGCTGGCTGCATATTCTCATTTGGTACTGGCTGCCCTACGACCAGAATTCCTCCTAAGGCCTCAGCTGCTAGCTGAGTAGAAACTGGTTTCCCCAGAAGTAGGTATACATGGGTGCTGACATGGAACAGGCAGATTCTGGGGTAGGGAGTACCATTGTTTTTGGCATTTTGCCCCATCTTTTAGAGCTGGATGTAGACCTGGTCTCATATTGTTTGGATATAAGATGGTCTGACCAATGGTGTCCTTCTGCACCCAGCAATGAGGACAAGATCCCCAAAGACCTATCTGAAAGCCTCTTGCTTAGTACTGACCATCTGGAGGTTCGTCCTATGTCAGTTCTTCCAGTGCTTGTGACCATGCAGGACCAACCCTGTCCTATTACTCTTAGGGTCTCTGGCCTGGCCTACCTCCTAATGCTGTTGTAGGTCCTTTCTTGTCCCACCCATCCTAATGGGCTGACTTTGGAACACTTCCAGTGCTGCCCAGTAAAAATCATTGAGTAAATGAAGGAAAGAGGGTGTGCGGATCAGAAAGAGGAGAGGTGGGGAGCAGGTGATACATGAAGGTGGCTGGAATAATCTGAGGTTTCCATTTTGGAGTGCTTGGGCACTGGCTACTTAGGATGAGCTGGGAGAGGAGCCATCTGTGGCCCTAGGGAGCCAGACTGGCAGCCACTTTCTCATGCTGCCTTCCCTGGTTGCTGCCAACATCCTTTTCCAATTCTCATTAGAAATCATTCTGGGGTTGGAAAAAAGAAAAAAAAGAAAGAAAGAAAGAAAGAAATCATACTGGGGAACCTTAGGCCTTAAGGTACTTATGTTGACTAGAACACCCAACCCTGCTTTAGGCCCTAGGGTGTCAAGCTGTTGAAAAAAAAATGATGCTGGGTCAGACTCCATCCTGTTGCTTACACTACTTCACATCCTGTCCCCAGAGCAAGGTCTTTGGTTTCAGAACAAAGGATCTGAGTCTGGACACCCATACCTTAGCCTGATAGGATCTTACTCCTCAGTACTTTTCTGAAATACGGCCAAGGGCAGAGGGATGCTCTTTGGATGCCAAACTCATTTCAGGTTTCAGCAGATGTCTTGGGCCACAGCCCTCTAACCAATGTATAAAGATAGCTACAGAAGTTAGAAAGCAAGGGCAGTGTCTTAGTCAGTGTTCTATTGCTGTGAAGAGACACCATAACCTCAGCAACTCTTATTAAGGAAAGCATTTAATTGGGACTTGCTTACTGTTTCAAAGGTTTAGTCCATTACCAGCATGGCTAGAAACATGGTGGCACACAGACAGACATGGTGCTAGAGAAGGAGCTCAGAGTTCTATATCCAGATCCACAGGCAGCAGCAGGAAGAGAAAGTCACTGGGCCTGGCTAGAGCTTTTAAAACCCCAAAGCCCACCTCCAGTGACATACCTCCTCCAACAAGGCCACACCTCCTAATCCCTCTCAAGTAGTGCCACTCCCTGATGACTAAGCATTCAAGTATGTAAGCCCATGCGAAAGCATCCTTATTCAAACCACCATAGGCAGGACTTCTAGAATCCCTATGCTCTAATTATCTAGATCCTCCACTAGTCAGCAGAGAAACATCTCCACATCTACCCATGGGCTTTAAATGGGACCACACAAGCTGGACTCAAGTGGCCAACATAGAGGGTCCTGCTTTCCCTAAGGGTGACTTAGATTCATAAACTGTCAGTGGCCCCCACAAAGCCTAGTGAAATATCTGTTGTGGTGGTAATCTAATTGTACTGAAATGTGATTTTGAATGTATGTTAATAAATAAAGTTGCCCGGGGGTCAGAGCTATTAGAGCCATAGCAAGAGTGTGGCGGTGGTGGCACACACCTTTAATCCCATAGATCTCTGTGTGTTCAGGGATATGGGAAGAGTATATGTGGAACAGGCCAAGGCCACATGTGGGGATGGACTGTGCTGTACTCAGTCCCACCAGACAACAGATGGCAGGTTTTGGATCCTGCTGAGGGTATCCTCTTTGTATCCCTGACTCCCTGTCCCCTGAACATGGCAATGGGGCAGTTGGCCCCCACACACTGAATAGATGACCCTTGGGATAATAAGGCTAGAGGAGAGAAAATCTAGTCTAGTTTAAATGGTCCAACTTTAAATCACTGCTGCTATCTTGGCCACTGGTTCAAGTATTGGAAAGTAAGCTCATAACACTGTTATTAAGATCAGATGTGGGCCAGATGTTGAAGAAGATGCTAGGCACCCTTGGCCCATAGAGGGAGGGTGGCATTGGTTAACAGGGCACCTTCTTCCACAGGAGCTACTGGCCAATGCCACCAGCCACACTGGTAGCTCACAGGCACTGCTTCTGGAGGCTTGCAATAGCAAAGACAGGACCACTGACCAGCATGCTCTCACAAGCCCAATGACACAAGTGACCTACAAGTGTTCAGGTATGGAAGCCTTATGGTTAAACATTTTACTTTGAGTACTCAGCCTGAAAGGTAGTTGGCTGGGAGTCTGTCCCTGGGAGACTAGGTTCTGCTGGTCTCTGGAATCAGGAAACCCAGGACACTCAATTCTGCAACTTTCAGAAATCTATGCCTTGGAGGTCAGCAGATAAATTAGCAGGCCAGTACTGGAGCAACCTATCTCTGGTACCAGTTTCCAGGTTGTTTTCTCCATTGTCTAGGCCTTGGTTTCATTCTTCTTAGCTTGGTGGTGATGGAAAGAGTCCTTTCTAACATGGGTTCCACTGGGTGGCCTCCAGAAGTTTTGACCATTTGGATCAGGACTGTATTGTAGCTGTTACAGATGCTGGAACTTTGCTGTGATTCCTGAGGGGCCCAGACTCCATATGACTTGCTCTTGAGTCTCAGATCTCACAAACAGATGGTTACTCCTGTTAAACCACACAGTAAGGGTGGGACAGAAGATCTCATGGCATGGAGGTTAGCTCCCCTTAGCATTTGTATATATCTGTCACTGGGAGCCAATTCTGGCCTATCTTAAGCCCGAGGCCCTTTGTGTGTTGGGAGGGAGCCTTGGGTCTCCAATGCTGTGCTGTAAAGTATCAGGTGACTTCCAGGTCAGACGTTGCTGATGTGGGCCTCCACTGTGGAGAAGGCAGAAGGATCCCTATTCTTGTCTGGGTGCTGCTCACGTCTGATGTATCTTGGCTTCCTCACTGAAAAGGGGTCAGAGATAAAGCTGAGTCAGAAATAGGTGAAGTTCAGGTCTTTGACAGCACCATAGGCTCTCAGGAGCATAGTGAACAGCCACAGGGCACAAAGCCCATGTGTGGTGTTTATTCTAACAAGGAAATGATGCTCATTAGGCTCCACTTGTGCAAAGGCAGTTTCTTCTGATGGAAGTGCCCATGAGCTCAGCTGTTTCCTATCAGAACCCCAGATCCCACACCCTAGTACCTGGGCCTGGATCAGAGCCCAGCTCTTCCTTAAGACAGAAGCATAGACTACACCTGCATTATGCTCCACAGGGAGTTAGCTAGCATCCTCTGAAAACAGGAGATCACCCTGAGTTTTGAAGCTTATGAACATAACCCTAATTTGAAAAAAGGTCTGTGCAGATGTGATTCTATTAGGATAGGTAAGATCATCCTAGACTAACCAGGTGGGCTCTGAATCCAATCAATGACTATTATTTTCTTCAGAGGGAAAGAGAGACATGGATGATGTGATCACAAAGCCACAGGAGGTATGAGACACTAGGAGTTGGAAGAGACATGAGGGATTTCCCATCCACCAGGCCTTAGAATGCAGGTCTCTCACCCCAACATCTTGATTTCTAACTTCGGTCTCCAAGAACTATCAAGGGATATGCTTTCCTTGAAGTGGCTAGTGTGTGTATTTTGCTGTATGGTGGTACAGGTCACTGACAACACCTGTAAGGTTCTCAGGAAGAAGGGCTGCTTTGAAGAACTTGAGACAGATATTAATTGGAACAAGGTAGGGTTCATCAAGGAACTACTTTATCTTCAAAACACTGTCACTGGTCCTCCATTCTAGACCTCTGCACAGTGAGGACAATGAGATGGGGAGAGAAGTTAAGCAAATCTGCTCTGGGCTTATGGTTGTGTAACCATGGGCCAGTCAACCCCTGTGCTCATGGCCTCTTCTGTACAGTGGGTTACAACTGCTCAGATAGGCCTGGCAGGAAAAGGCTCAAGAATTGACATGTTCCTTGCAGCTCTTAAGCAGAACTAAATTTAGACATGACTGAAGAAGAAGCAGGGAGTCTGGCCCTATGCTGAGGAAGGGAGACAGCATAGAAACCATATGGGTTGATAGGGAGAAGAAAAGTAATGCCTGCTGAGCACCTGTCCTTGTCCTTGCTTTATGGAACAGTCTACTTAGAATGTGTGAAGGCAGGTCAGGCCCCAAAGAAAGACCTTTATATCTGGGGATAAAACCATAGAATAGGCTTTGAAGACTGGTCCACAGTAGGGCCCTTCCACCCAACTCCCATAACATGCTGCAGCCTGTACCTGAAGATTGTGGCAGGGGGACCATCGCAGCCTTGAAAAGAGAAAGGCAAAGTGAGACTTGGATGGCCTGGCACAGGTACACACAGCCGAGGTTGCTCAGCCTAGTTGAGTAGGTTACTTACTGTTTCACCAGGCTGCAGGACAGGGGCTAGGGAAAAAAATAGCATGTCACTCTGATGCCCAGCAGCTGCCTCAGCTCTGAGTGCCCTGAGCACCTGGAGCCAGGACAGCTGCTCAGCCATATTTCTTACCCTGGGGACTCTAAACAGCAGGGCCCAGCCTCATATTCTCAGCTAAGAGCATCCAAAGTCACTCTGTGTGGGTGAGTGTGAGCACAGGAGTCTGGACACAGTGGAGTCCCTGCGCCTGCTCTGTACCCTGTACCTTGCTCTGTACTGGGGACTACCTATGCCCTGTGGGGACAGGCTCTGGACAGTATCCCTGAGGCTAGGCAGGCAGAAACTCAGCCACAAAAGGAATTACCTCTGTCTTTCCTGTAGAAAACCTCAGGAAGTTTACTGGAGCGCTTGAGGTAGAAGAACCCAGCCACAGAGAGGATGAGGCCTGTGCTGATGAAGAGTGTCCCCAGGAAGAGGGAAGCTGCCACATGAGGAGCCCCTGCAGGCAAACCAACAGCTGCCAGGAGAGCCAGGTCTTGGGGGATGGATGACCAGTGTGCCTTGCTTAACCTCTGGGCTCCACCATTTCCTAAACATACCTGAGCACCATACTAGGCACCAGCCACATGTCAGAGCAAGCCACATGTCAGGCTCCTCCATAAGCCCAACACACCTAGCCACAAGACCAGGGACATTATACTGCCCACCCTCTCCTGGCCCTGGCTAATTCCAGGCTCCTCTCTCTATTAGATTGGCCTCAGCCTCTTGGAGTGAGAACCAAAGCCTCCAGCCTTGGCAGCAGGTACTTCTGCTGCACCTCACTTCTGATACATGTAGTTGCCTCCTACTTAGCTCCATTTGTTTGTGGTCAGGACATGCTAGGGGTCTAGTAGTTTGACGGACAGTGTAACTGCCAGCTATGGGAAGTATCCTCTTTTTTGTTTGTTTTTTGAGACAGGGTTTCTCTGTATAACAGTCCTAGCTATCCTAGAACTCGCTTTGTAGGCCAGGCTGGCCATGAACTCAGAGATCCACCTGCCTCTGCCTCCGGAGTGCTGGGATAAAGGTGTGTGCCATCACCACTCAGCCTTGGAAAGTATCTTTCTTACTGAGACTCCATGGATCTTGCTCTGTCTCATTAGCACTGTGCAAAAGATGTGCCTAAGGTCCTGTCTATACTACCCCTACCCTAAACACCACTGTTCTGTGCAGCGGACTTCCACTGTTGAGGCTAGCACCTTCAAGTGCAATTTCTGGTTGAGAGGAGGGATGGGTTCTAAGACCCATGGGAAGGACTGAGTCCTCTCAGAATAGGACTCCAAGCCTAAGATCCATCACTGTTGAAGGATAAGGGTCAGGATGATATGTCCCTAAAGTGATTGGGTCACCTCAGAAGAGGCAGTCTTGTACTGGAGTTCAGTCTAGCTCCCTAATCTATGTGGCTCCTCTGACTTGGGTATATTCTCTCTACTAGCACCACCCCAGTCCTCATTCTTGCTTGCCTAGCCACACTGCTACCCCACATTTTCTTCCACTCTTTACTCCCCAGGCCTTCATTTAAGGTGGGCTTAAAGACTCTGGAGATATGGACATCATGTAAATAGGGCCTGTCCCTTCCTTGAAAACATATCAGGAGGTATGGCCCACGTGTTTGCAGTCTCATCAGCAGCCTATATCCTATGAGAGCAAGTTGGGAAGGAGCAATGCAATCCCCAGGGCCTGGGGGTCAGAGTGGACATGGAATGAGGCAAAGGCTAAGCATAAGTGGGTAGTAGTGAGGGCTGCTATTAACTAAAGCTCTTTGGAGACCATGAAATATCTTCATTCTATGGAATCCCAACATGTATCCACACCCAAGCCAAATGACCCCAGCCCCAAAGGATGCTGGACTCTCTCCAGACCTTTTCTTTGACCACAGCTCCTTGCAAAAAATACTTTACCATGGATATGTCTGCTGTGGCCTCAGTGGCTCAGGATTGGCACTAGTACCAATACCAGCTCTGATGATGAGCCCCAGCACCAGGTCCTAAGCAGAGGCACAATTCTGGACTTATGAGCTAAGAGACTTACCAAAATGTGGCTGTCCAGGTGTCCCTGTGCTTCTGTTCATGGGAAACTGCATGCCCCGGCCAGTGACTATGGGAGAGCAGAACTGAGGGGAGGCCTGAGCCATGCCCAGGACCCTACTGAGGCCTCCACATATAGTCCTAAAGGGACATCTCAGTTTAGAGATGAGAAAGCAAGGAGCAGTTCTCACCCACAGCTGTCCTCAGTGAACAGAACACTCAGGGAGAGATCCAAGGGGCTGCTCACTGATAGACAAGACTCCTGGGCAAGGTAGGTACTGCCGTTGGAGAGGACAAATACAGTGGTTCCCTTGGTTTCTCCCCAAATTGGACATGAGGACCCTTGTGAAGTATAGGGGAACTGGGGTAGATAGCTTGGAGAAGACATACGAATTCTGCACTCAGAGCCATTGTATGTGGGGAGGGTCCCATTCCAGCACCGGACACAGCTAGCACTCCCATCTGCATTCCAGAGCCTGTAGCAACCTGCATGAGGAGAAGAGAGAGTTTTTCAGCCAAAGTAAGTCAAAGTCATCTCACTGTCTTCTTCAAGCTTTTCTGCATTATGAATTGGCAATTTTCAACTCAGGAACATTAACATGATGTGGAAAACTGGGCACAGGCTCCAATTCCAGAAAAAGAAATAAACTCAACAGAAAGCATACAGCTCTCAACCAAATTCCTGTGGATACCTATCACTAAGGCAGTCATTTCTTTTACTGGATGCCTGAGGAGACTATTCAGAGGTGCTTAGGACAGAAAGCTAAAATTAATAGATACTATGCAAAGGTCTAGCCTTATCCACCAGAACCTCCAGGATACAAGGTAGCTGCCTATATACAGCAGTGTACCCTCACTTGGGCCTCTACATCGGGGCAGGTACACATAGGTTTGTTTGTGTCCCTGTGCTATTTCCCAGGGTCTATGTAGCAGGATCAAGCCAAATTCTACCCAAGATTGGCACTGACCAAAGCCATACCTTCAATTCTGAGAGTGACCCAGTATAGCATGAATCTTAAAAGTTCTTATTAGCCGGGCGGTGGTGGCGCACGCCTTTAATCCCAGCACTTGGGAGGCAGAGGCAGGCGGATCTCTGTGAGTTCGAGGCCAGCCTGGACTACCA